AGTAGTAGTAGTAGTAGTAGTAGTAGTAGTAGTAGTAGTAGTAGTAGTAGTAGTAGTAGTAGTAGTAGTAGTAGTAGTAGTAGTAGTAGTAGTAGCAAGTACAACAAAGGAAAAGATAAAGGGCCGTACGCAGCCCGGAAAAATATGATACAAGCAAAACGCGCCGTATGGCTGCAGACATGATAGTGCAGCATGCAGGTTGCCAAACACCCCAACCCCAAAAGGTCCCCGTGTGTCATCACTTCGTCTCCAGTATCGCAACTAAACACCCAGGGGTGCATTTCTTTGCGATTCAAGCGTGCATACAGCGCGGCGCCCGTAGCGCAAATAGGAATACCTTGAATTCAAGGCCTCACAATCCCTCAGTCCAGCCTTTTGCATTCAACCTCATATCCATTACGACCTCCTGCCGCCAAGTCCATCTTCATATCCATTAGAAACCCCCTGCCAGCATGTCCATCACGTCCATCACGTCGATCCTCATATCCGTCACAGCCTCCTGCCATCGCGCCCATAATCAGCATACTGGCCTGGCTGTTGGGCTTGGCTTTGCGGTTGGTGTTGTCCCCTGCTGCGTTCGTATTCTTCCCTTATTCTCCTTTCGCGCTCCCAGTCAGCATGTGGATCCCTGACGCGAGCGTCTCTCTCGTCTGGCCGTTCCCAGCTCGCGCCAGCGGTGCGGCTTTGTGGCCGGAACGGATCCGGTCGAAGAGGCTGCGCATGTTGGCCTTGACCACCGTCACGCGGATCAAGCGCACCTCCTCGGAGCGGAGGTCCCTGGCCATGCGGACCTGGCGGCGCTTGTTGCTGTGCCCTTGCATCTGAGGCTGCACTCAGCGGGTAGGCGGCAGGCGTGCGACTTGATGTTGAGGACGAGGACGGTGGTGGTGGCGGTGGAGGTGGAGCCCCGAAGCGAGCATGATGATCATGGGGTGAGACGCTAACTGGAGTGTGTTGGCTGTAGCGCATCTGCTGGAAATGCTGCTGCTGCTGCTGCTGCTGCTGCTGCTGCTGCTGCTGATGCTGATGCTGTTGCTGCTGATGCTGTTGCTGATGCTGCTGATGCTGATGTTGCTGCTGCTGCTGCTGCTGCTGATGCTGATCATGCTCGCGGCGCTCGCGCTCTTGCCTTGAATAGTATTTCGCATGCAAGGCTCGACTGTCTCGTGCATTCTTGTCATTGTACTCAGTCTCGCGCTCTCGAGCGTACTTCTCACGCATGTCTCGCTCGTGGAGCTCGCGCATATGCTCTTGTTTCTGTCGTTGCAAGTCAAGTTCTCGACCACGTTGTACGCGCTGTTCGTACTCTTGATTCTCTCGACCGAGGTGGTGGTGGTGGTCGTCGCCGCCGCCGCTGATGCCCAACCCGCGTTGCATCATCGTCTCGGTAGCTTGTCCCGGATAAGCGAGGCTTTGATTTGCGGCATGGGATCGTTCGGTCAAGGCCTGTTGCGAGGTCGCGTGCACGATGGGACCTGCGGGTGCAGTACTCGGTGGTTGGACGCTGGCATATGGATTCGAATGCAGTACAGGAGCTCCACCGACTGGAGGCGTGTGCAGACGGCTTGGAGCCTGGCTTGGTGGGGGCTGTTGATGTTGCTGCTGCTGTTGCTGTTGCTGTTGCTGTTGCTGTTGCTGTTGCTGCTGAGCTTGACTGTACGATGGGTATCGACCATGTGCATATGCAGTAGAGTGAGGTGGCGGAGTTGAAGAATGACCGGGGTGGGCATGTTGTCCCAAGGCAAGCGAGCGATGATTGGAGTTGCTTATTCCACCAAAAGGGGGAAGACGGGCTTCGCCAAGGGCCGAGGGGGCAGGATGCGCAGACAATGGTGAATTGTTCTGGGAATGAGTTGCTGGCTGAGCGCCAGGATACGCACGCTGAGTCCAGCCATCCCTGGTGGGAGGGACAGCGTGAGAGGGCGGCTCTCGAGTGGCTTGATCCAAAACAGAGCGGGACGGAGGGCGAGATGGCACTTGTGAAGACGCACCGTAGCTTTGTCGCGAATAGGACTGCTGCATTGGCTCTCCATACGCCACGGCCGCCAACCGAGCCTGCTGCGGGCCAGAGGGGCTTTGACCGATGGGAGTCGGGGCAGCGCGCGAAGTTGAGGCAGCGTGTTCGCCGTCACGTGTACTAGGCTGCTTTGCCGCCTCACTCTCCGGTGCCGGGTTCAGAAGCGAGAAAAGGTTCGAGCTCTTTCGAGTGGTCTCGGCGGCGGGCTTGGGTGGTGGTAGCGATGAGCGAGTGGCAGGTGCTGCTGCCGGGTTGGACGATGGTCGGGGCTCTTCTCTTGCACCATAAGACGGCTGACTTCTCTCTAGTATTGAACGTGAATGTGAATGTGACGGTGCCGGTGCTGGTACAGGTACAGGTGCAGATGCTTGTGCTGGTGGTGCCTGAGAAGGGTGATCGTCCATTCGTCCGATACTCGAATGTGGTCGATGTAGCGGGGCCAGCGGCGTGTGTTGCGCAGGGACGCTCCTCGGCTGTAGTTCTTCGCTCGATGGAGGTCCGGTAGAGCGAGCGAGCGTCATTACAGGAGGCGCCGCCTGGCGAGACGAAAGGGGTTGTTGATACAGAGGACGATCCTGGACGCCCCAGGTCCGTGTGTGGGGAGGACGATCTTGCGGCGCTTGTTGGAGATGTTGTTGTTGTTGTTGTGACTGTGGCTGCTGGTGTTGTTGTTGATGTTGATGTTGTTGTTGGTGGTGGTGGTGGTGGTGTTGTTGTTGTTGTTGTTGTTGTTGTTGTTGTTGTTGTTGTTGTTGCGGTTGATGTTGCTGCTGGTGTTGTTGTTGTTGTTGCTGCTGTTGTTGCGGTTGCGGTTGCGGGTGCTGCTGTTGCGGTTGTTGTTGTTTTTGTGGATGCTGTTGTGGTTGTTGCGGGTGCTGCTGTGATTGATGCTTGGGCGCACTTTCAGTCTCCGAGGGCTGTAGACTTGTATGTCGAAATGGTGGGGATCCTTGACTTTGCGAACCATGACCAAGTCTCGACTGCTGTTCGGCACGGCCACCAGAATAAGGAGACGGGCGGAATGGCGACTGAGCATGAGCGGACGGCGCAAGCTGATTAGCATGTAGTGGTAGTGGTGCTGGTGGTGGCGGCTGAGTAGAGGATAAAGATGATGATGATGCTGCCGCCGCCGCCGCCGGTTGAGCCAAAGGTCGACTCTTTGGCGACTCAAAATTCGTTCCCATCCTCGGGGGTGGCCCGGAACGTGCTTGGTATTGTGACTGAGGCGGGAGAGGAGGTGACAAGTGTGGAGCATCTGTCAACGGCCGCATTGGAGGGGAAGCTTGCGGCCCAGCAGAGGTGGTTTGTTGAAGACGCCCAGAGGGGCTTTGGCTGCTGAGGTTAGAGAATCTGTTTGTGGATTGTTGGACTTGAGGGGGCGAGTGAGCGGGCACAATGGCTGCTGTTGTTGCTGTTGATGTTGTTGTTGTTGTTGTTGTTGTTGTTGTTGTTGTTGTTGGAGCAGCAGCCGACGACGACGACGACGCCGGCGGAGTGTCTGCGTCGACGTCTGGGTTCGGTGCAAGCGTTCGGGGTGCAGCAATCTGCGCGGTAGTATCATACCTTCGTCGAGGTGCAACTGCAGAGGGCACAGGCGGAGGACCCAGAGATGCTCCGCTCTTGATGCGTTGGTCGGCCTCTTCTGCCGCCCTGCGCAAAGCATCATCCCTACCTTGTTCGACGCTTCGGAGATACTGGTTCTTGACCTGTTCGATGGTGTTAGAAAATATATAGTTCGAGGGTTGTTGCTTCGCCATGTCGGCAACGTCAAAGTCCGGCGGGGCCGCGGGCCCGTCCGGGACTTGTTGCGCTTGCTGCTGAAGTCTTGTGATTGAAGAATGAGAAGTATCATTTACCATGACCATCGTTTTGGTACCCATGTGCTGGGCGATAGCAGAGAAGTTTGTGCCAAAATACGCCACGTTCCGGCGGAAGTCTGCTGTCTCCTGTACAGACCAATAGCTGGAATGACCCTGGCGCTGCGTCGTTGGGGCGGCGGCGGCGGCGGCGATGGTAGTGGTGGTGTTTGTGGTGGGAGTTGCTGCCTGTAATCGCGGACGATCTGTAGAAAGTAGTGGAGGGGGTATTCCAGGAGTAGTAATAGTAGTAGTACTCGAGAACGGAATCTGACCCATGCCTTCTTCCATGGTCTGATGTACATCATCTGGTGGGCCATATGTTGACGGAGTGGACTCGTACAAGGCCAGCGGCTCCGATGATTCTGCGCGCATCAAGTCTTCCTGCTTCACACCAAGCATCTTCTCGAAGCGGTCCCTTGGTTGCTTGACAGGCGATGATGTTGTTGATGTCGATGTTGTCGCTGTGGTTGCTGCCGCTGTTGCTGCTGTGGTCGCGGCGGCGGCGGCGGCGGTGGTGGTGGTGCTGGTGGTACTGGCGGTAGGTGCTGGGGCCAGAGCGTTGTTTCTTGCCTTCCGAGTTCCTTTTTCTTTTGTGCCCCTGGTCCGCTTTGTGCCCCCCCTTGGTTCAACGGTCGAGTCACCACTACCTCCGCCGCCACCACCACCACCACGGCTCCTCACAGTGGTGGTGGAGGGAGTTGCATTCGCTTCGCTGTCATTGTCCATGCCAAATTGAGGTGCAGCGGCTCGGCGGGGACGCCCCTTTTCAGTGACAGCCATCGTCGACCCTCCATCCTCTCCTCCGTTCTCGAGGCGGCCCAATGCTTCAGTGTTGAGTGGCGCTCTTCCCCGGCTGGCGCCCGTCTTGGCAGCTCTGGACCTGGCACCACCACCACCCTTTCTCTTCCCAACCTTTGGCTTGAATTCTCCTCCCCACTTGGTGTTGTAGTAGTGACAGATGCACTGTCGAAAGTTACGATTCTTGACAGCAGATGCAATGAAGCCCCACTTCTTCGGATTCTGGTGGTAGGCAGCAACGAGTGATTTGTGCTCGTCCTCGGTAAAGTCGTCGCGCGGGGGATCAAAGTGGAAGCACTTCAGCGCCTGGGAGGGGTGGCGTAGGCTCGTCCAGTCCTTGTAGCGGCGTCTCTGTTGGGTCAGCTCGTCCATCAGGTCGGGTATCTCGGCTTCCTTTTCCAGGTCGGGTTTCGACTTTTTTGCCTCGCGTTCCTGCTTCGCTTGACGTTCCTCTTCGACCTTGGCAGACTCCTTCATGATGAGGTCGAGCTGATACTGGCTGATGAAGCCTCGGGCACGGCCCAAGCCTGGGGTGGGGAGGGCAGATGGTAGGCCAGTCGGATCAGGCGTCACGGCGGCACGCGGTTCATCGGCAGTGGCAGTGGCAGCAGTAGCAGCAGCCGGCTGATCTTCCTCGTCGTCTCCATGGACGGCATCGTAGTGCTCGAGATGCTTACGCCATTGGCAGTATAGCTCGTAGAAGAGCTCGCGTTTCGAGTCCATCTCGTCGTGCGTCGCGTCGAACCTGGAGCGGAGCAAGGCCTTGATCTTCTGGAGCGTATCCGCCGACATTTCCTCCTTGACCGGTAGCTCGTGCCCAGGGTCCGAAAGCGGAGTTGGGGGTGCTTTGATGAGGAAGGGCAGTGAACTGAGGTCAGGCGTAGGCTCCCGGTCGGTAGACGGGTCCCTGTGATGATGGGTCGTGGTGCTGTCATCGACATCGTGCATGATTTCGTCACCATTATGCTCTTCCTTTGGCGTCATCATGTCCGGTTGGAGGGATGTTGTGAGCATCTTGTTGACGACGACAGCGGCGGCTGCTTCTTCCGGCGGCGTGGCACGCTCGTCTTTGTGCTGCTGCTGCTGCTGCTGCTGCTGCAGCAGAGACCTCACGTAGTTGACATCATCCATGGAGATGCGTGCGATGCGTACAAGTTCATCGAGGACTGCGGCAGCGCGCAAGGACGGGTCGCTCAAGTCGTGCTTCTGGGACTCTAGCCGTGCTTTACCCTCCAAAAAGGCCTTTTCTGCAGCCTCGAAATCTGCCTCGTCCAAATCCAAGCCGTCCTCGTCATCGCTGAGATCGTCACCGCCTTCTGGTGCCGAGGGATTAGCTGACAAGGGGAGTGGTGGTGGTTGATCGATCGGGGAGGGAGACACATCAGCCATGACGTGGTCTTCAGACGTCTCACCCTTGGGCTCGGGTTTTACATGCACGTGTGATGACGAGTGGGTGGTAGCTGTGAGGATGGCTGGATGCTTGAGATTTGTCTCCAGCTTCAAGGACGCCGCCAAAGGGGTACGCTCCTTTTCTTCGCCGTCCGAGTCGCGTTTTGCCGGTATTACCACACCAGCTCTGTGGGCCGCAGGTGCGGTAGGCGCACCCGGACGGATCCATTGACGGCTCTTTATCGCAGGTTGGGGGAGGACAGCTGGACCGCGTGGAGATGTGAATGGAGGACTGGCGTGCACTGGCTGTCGCAAAGGGTTGCTGGGACCTAGTCTTTCTCGTTCGGCTCGGGGGCCGGTGGGTATGACTGCGCTGATGGACTTGGGCGAGGTTATCGGCCAAGAGTTTCTTGGTCCAGACGGAATACTGGCTGCTGCTGCTGCTGTTGTTGTTGTTGCCGTTGCCGTTGCCGTTGCTGTAGTTGTCACATCTGTGAGCGAAGCTGGTCGTGACGGCGCATTGCTAATCGCACTTGGTCCTGTGGGGGGAGCTGCTTGTGGCACCAGGGACGGGACGCGAGACGGAACGCGGGACCTTGGAGCGGGAAGAGGTGATGCTGGTGCCGGTGCCGGTGCAGGTGCAGGTGCTGGAGACGCCGACGACGGTGGTGGTGGTGGTGGCTGAAAGGGGGTGTCTCTGTCTCTGGTATCCAACGGCTGAGGCGTGGAGACAATCTCACCGGGGGATAGCCTGGCAGCAGGAGGCTCACGCTTGACGTGGTCGTCATTTGAAGGTAGCGACGACGGCGGCGGCGGCGGCGCCTCTCTATCTCGAACATCAGCAGCAGCAGTAGTAGCAGCAGGCCTTGCGGCTTTGGGCCCTGTTGGAGGAGCGGGGGGAGGAGGAGGAGGAGGAGGAGGAGGGGCAGTCGACAATGCTTTCGGCGCGGTTGGGGGTACAGGCTTGATAGTAGTAGGATTCTTCTTCTGCTGCTGCTGCGCAGTAGGGCCAGCAGCATTGGCCGGATTGTTCTTGTCAAGGTGTGATGCTCTCCATACATTCGAAGTAGGGCCGGCAGCAGTGAATGGATTTGGCGCTCGAGCTGGAGGCGGCGGCGGCGGCGCAGCTGGGAGGATAGAGCCAAAGGCAGGGACTGAGGGGGCTTGAGGTGGCGGCGAGGACCGGCCGGTAAAACGATCACGAGGCAGCAGCTCCGTTCGGCCTGGCGGAAGGTCAGACTTGTTGTTATTGTTATTATTGTTGCTGTTGTTGCTGTTGTTGTGGTCTTCGCGTCGTGCTTCCTTGGCGGTCGAGAGCTCGGCTAGGGAGGAGCGCCTAGTGGTAGAAGGGGGAGGTGGAAAGTCACGTGGGGCAGCGGAATCGGTCCCAGCAGATAGCGGTTTGCTGACATGGAGGACGTGAGGGCTAGCGGAACCTGAAGGGGCGTTGCGGGAGTCTATGTTGTAGGACGACGACGACGATTCGATCCGAGCGGAAGAGGTCGGCGGCGGCGGCGGCGGCTTGTAACGATCATCCTTTTCTTCTCGGTCTCGATATATTCTTCGATCGTCGTCACGTCTGTCGAATCTTCGGTCATCCCTTCGGTCAACGTCACGATCATCCCGAGCCGAATTGTTCTCGCGCCAAGGACCCCTTGAGCGACTCCGGGCGCGATAAGTGTCCCGGTCGTCGCTGAAGTGACCTCTACCACCACGGCCATGATAATCCCAGTCGCCACGGCCTCCAGCTCCTCCAGCTCCTCCAGCTCCTCCAGCTCCTCCAGCAGCGCCTCTGAGCGAACCTCTGAAGCCCCCTCGGCCATAACCACTGGACTGCTGGGGTGGATCGGAATAGTTTGAGCCGGCAGATGGGGGACCGTCTCTGGCGGCCCGCTGTGCACCTCTCACATCGAGTTCCCGGGGTGGAAAGTCTCTCGGACCGCGTTGTGGTGAACGAGCTCGTGGGGAGGGTCTCCTCTCGCTACGCCTGTCAAAGTCACGATCCCGATCACGGTCACGGTCACGATCCCGGTCCCGATCGCGATCCCGATCATTCCATCTCCTGTCTCGTGTGTCGGTTAGCGGTGGAGCGTCTCGAAGTTCAGGGCGTGGCGGGAAGCCTCTTCCTCGTGGACCAGAAGGGATGGAAGTGCTGGCAGCTGAAACGGAAGCGCGCGAACCATTCTCCAAGGCGCGTGGACCTCTCGGGGGAGCATCTCTGGCGGCACTATACTGGCTGCTTGACGCATAAGAAGAGCGCCGGTCGCTGCGAGGAGGCGGCGGCGGCGGCGGTGACCTATCACGTGGAGGATATCGCGAGTCAGCCGAAGAGATGCGGTATGACATCTGATGGTCGGAATGGGAAGCAGGACAGAGTCAGAGATTGAGGCAGACGTGCTTCCAACATTGACGACGGGAAGAGGAAGCAGGGTTGGTCGGGGACAGACAGGATGCAGTGGACGGAGGTGGTGGAGTTGACGTCACGTGGAGAGCAGACAAGGGGAAGAGGGAAGTCGCCACGGGATCGGGAAGGAGGAAGGGTTGGAACAGAGGAAAGTGGGGCGGAGCTGCAGCCTGAGGCTAAATTTGCAACTTTGCAGACGTGGGACAGCAGCGGCGGCGGCACCAGGAACAGGAACGGGAACAGGAACAGGAGCCGGGAGTGTAGTGAAGCGAGACGACAACGAGGGACAAAGTGAATCAAGCGCGTAGACGAACGGGGACAGTAGATGGAGATTGAGACGAGCGTATGTTGGGCGCGCGCTGGATGAAGTCGAGTCGAGTCGAGTCGAGTCGAGTCGAGTCAAATGGAAGGGAGAGTGAAGAGGGCGGCTATCCAGAGGCTGGTCGGATGCGGCAGTCGAGTGATTTGGGGAGGAGGGAAGCCAGATGGAAGAAGCAGAGTATGAATGGCGAGGATGTGTTAAGAGGCAGCCGGTCGGGAGAGACGAAGAAGTGTGTTGTGTGGTTGATGGAAGCGGAAGGTGGTATGAATGGAGGAATGAGGATGGAAGTGGAGGAGGATTGGAGAGAGTGGACGAGGCGGGTTAGTGACAGTGGGTGGTGGTAAGGCGTGTAAGGTGTGTTTCAAGCCGGCGCGTGTGCGCGTGGATGGGTGTGGGTATGTGTGCCTCAGGCAGGATTGGGCGATATGGCAGCAAGCCAAGACGAAGTAGACGAGACGTATCGAATCGAGTGAAGATGGAGATGGAGATGAAGATGAGGATGAAGATGAGGATGAAGATGAGGATGAAGATGAAAGATGAGGACGAGAATGAGAATGAGAATGAGAGAGGGCGAGAATGGATTGGTTGGTTGGCAGAGAATTGGGAGAATGGGTGTGGCAGTCTGTGGCGTGTGTGTGGACTGTGGACTGTGGACTGTGGACTGTGTGGAGGGGTGTGTGCATAGCCAAGGGTAGGCAGTAGATGGATGATGATTGGCTACAAGGGCTAGCGGGCGAGCTGCTACGGGCCACCCGCACCGAAATAGCCTTTCTCGACAGCTTGACTTGTAGACTTTGACCTTCTCGAACAGCCGTGATTGGCCAGCGGATTGAAGATGTGCACGAAGAGAGAGCCAGGCAACAAGGCGACAGGGCGACGAGGCAACAATCCATCGACTGCGCTCGACTCAACCTACCAGTGACCACTAAAGATAAATGCATCGTCACCGTCAGCATCAAGTTGCTCTTCTTCGCATCTCGTGTCGCTGCGTCTGCACCAAGCTGCTGCTGCATGCCGTTGTATGCATCTGCCTACTACAGTGATTAATTAGCTATACAGGACAGGCTACAGTAAGTATCGCCTACTTATTATTACTTATCAACCCTCCGACTCTCCCCCTGCCCGTGCTGGCTGCCACATCCATGCATGCTACCACTAATTATATATCCTGCCGGGCTGGCCTGCGTTGATCTCAGCATGGGTGCGTATCTCTACTGTATTCTCTGCTTGTCTGCTTGGCCCCACTACGCTGTCGACAATCAATTTTCACTCTGCCTGCCCTGCTTACCTTCTATCCTCTTGTCCCTTCAACTAATTACTTATTCTCTCTCGCTCTCTCTCTCTCTCTCCCTCTCTCTCCTTCCCTCTCGTGCGCGCGCGCCATCATGGATCCTGCCACCGCCACAGATGCCGTCCTCAGGCCCTCCCATCCTGTCCCCGACAATGCCCGCCCGGTCCGCGGCATCGAGTTCGACAATCTGCACCACAGACCCGTCACTGTCGATGATCTCGTTGCTGGCATGGCCGACATGGGCTTCCAGGCAAGCGCTGTAGGCGACGCCGTCAACATCATCAACGATATGGTAACAGTCCATCACACACACACACACACACACACACACACACACACACACACACACACACACACACACACACACACACACATCTTTCCACCTGCCCCCCACCGGACCTGACCAGCGCTCTCGATGCATGCAGCTAATGAATGCCCTGCCTTGCACAGCGACGTTGGAGAGATGCAGACACGCGCGAATCCACCACCATCTTCCTTGGCTATACCTCGAATCTCATCTCGTCCGGGCTCCGGGAGACGCTGCGCTACCTGGTCCAGCACAAGCATGTCTCTGCCATTGTCACCACTGCCGGCGGCGTTGAAGAAGACTTTATCAAATGCCTGGCCCCGACCTACCTGGGCTCCTTTACCGCGCCGGGTGCTGCCCTTCGCGCCCAGGGGATGAACCGCATCGGCAACCTGTTTGTGCCCAACAGCAACTACTGCGCCTTTGAAGAGTGGGTGGTGCCGATCCTGGACCGGATGCTGGACGAGCAAGAGGCGGCACGACACGAGCCAGACCCGCTCGTCTGGACGCCCAGCAAGATCATCAGCCGGCTGGGCAGGGAGATCAACGACGAGCGGTCCGTCTACTACTGGGCGTGGAAGAATGAGATTCCGGTCTTCTGCCCCGCCATCACGGACGGCAGCCTCGGCGACATGATGTTCTTCCACACCTTCAAGTCGTCGCCCAACCAGCTCATCTGCGACAGCATTGGCGACATCAGGACGCTCAACACGCTCGCCATCAAGGCCAAGCGCGCCGGCATGATTGTGCTGGGAGGCGGGGTGGTGAAGCACCACATTGCCAACGCCTGCCTCTTCCGCAACGGCGCCGAGAGCGCCGTCTACATCAACACCGCCCAGGAGTTTGACGGCAGCGACGCGGGTGCACGGCCCGACGAGGCGGTGAGCTGGGGCAAGATCAAGGCGGATGCGCAGAGCGTCAAGGTGCGTGCACACACTGCCCTCTTATCGGCTGTTTTCGTGAGTATGCCAGTTTTGTGTGTGTGTGTGACTGACGGCAGCTTTTTATATAACAGGTGTATGCCGAGGCGACGGTGGTGTTTCCTCTGATTGTCGCAGCGACATTTGCCAAGGCGGCCACGGAGTGATGGACATGCTGCCAGTGACAGCGGCAGGACGTACCTCCAGTGACAGTAGCAGTACGTGGGCGAGAAGACGGATGATCCATAAATCCCCAGACATGCACGCACCCCCGAGGGCGTTAAAGTGACGCGGGGCAAGACAGGCACAGCCCTACCAACTGCTGCCTGCTTAGTAGTAGGTTGGGGGGAGTAGTAGCTGCTACTAGCTAGTATTGGTACTAGCGACGGTGGGCGGGTGTGCAATTAGTGGGTTGACTGGGCGTTGACTAGCGAGAATGTGGCTTAGCTGCCCGCCGCCACTCGACCGCCTCACCTTTTCCAAGATTGATGGCTAGTAATTAATTACCTAGTAGGTCGGTAGAGGTGGGTGGGTAGCTAGCTTGGTATCATCATTCCTCCCCTGTCACTAGGACTAATAGAGGTGGATGAACTACTCTCTCTCTCTCTCTACTCATGTAGTAGTAATCAAGTAGTTGACTCGATAATCCACACCCCTCTGTCTCTCGCATCATGCATATGAGCAGCAGCAGTAGTAGCAGCAGCAGCAGCGGATGAGCGAGTGAGGCTGGTGAGCTTCTTCTTCGTGGCAGCCTGTCCGCCTGTCCGCCCTGAGCCGCCCTTTTTTGGCTACGGGGAGGAGAGGAGGAGGAGCGTGGCTGTAATACTGTACTGTAAAGTATCCTATCATTTAATACATCCACTAACTACTACTACTGCTGAGCTGTCTGCCTCTACCTATACACTCTTCGCTATCCATACTACTACTACTACTACTACTACTACTACTACTACTACTACTACTACTACTACTACTACTACTACTACTACTACTACTACTACTACTACTACTACTACTACTACAACAACAACTCACACATGCACATACACATTCTCTCCCATCCTCCTACATCTACTTCATAAACATCCATCTATCCCGCTTGTCTTCTTGTCTTGTTCTCTCTCCGCCTGCTGCTGCTGCTGTCATAGCTCGCTTCCCCCGACCCTGCCTGCTTGAGCCTCACAATCAACCCTTAAGCCCGTTATCGCCAAGCTACTACTACTACTACCACCACCACCACCTCTCTCAACATTCTTTTGCTTGTTGCTTCACTGCACTGCACTCACTACACTACTACACTGTACTACACCACACCACACACACACTACACCTCCATACCCGCCTTCTTGATACATTCCTCTTCACTCATACTCACCCACAAAGACAACCATCCGCTACCACAACTGTCCTTCACCACCCTCTCTCTAATTATCTTGTGTCCTCCACTCCCTATTAACGTCCAGACGACGTTATTCAAAAGAAAAAAAAAGGAAGAAACCCTGCTGCCTACCGCCCATCCTTTGCCTCAAATAGGCCCCTTCCCACCTCCCAACGACATGAGCGTTACCACCTCCCCGGCCACTCTTGATCCTCCACCGCTTCTCTTCCGCCAGCCTTCTCCTTCTCCATTCAACGCCGCTCCGCTCTCTCCAAACCCCTCCGCCCACTCCGCCGACTCCTCACACTCGCACTCGCACTCCGACTCACACTCCCTCTCCGCAGCAAACATGGCTTCCTTGCCGCCGCCCCCCGACGATCACGACCACGATATCGACATGACAACCTCCACAACACTACCTCGCCAAGATGGTCAAAATCACGACAGGCAAGACGCTGACATGGCCGGTGCCGAGGACACGGCTGGCTCTCCTGTGCTGCCTGCAGACGACTCCACTAGCAGCGGTCATGCTGATTCTGACGACGAGTCGGAGGATACCATGCCCAACGAGGAGGAGGAGGAGGAGGAGGAGCAGGAGGACGAGGACGAGGAAGAGGAGGATGTCATGGACACCACTCCAGATCTCACCCAGCTACACAACCTGCCCGCAGTCGTCGATGCTCATGCAGCCCACCATCCTCCTCCTCCTCCTCCTCCGACCATCAGTAGTATCGACGCTCAGACCCCAGCTTCCAATAATGTCCCTCCTGTTCGTGTCCCTTCCCCCCAACCACCACCCTCGGTCCCGCATCCTCCTCCCCCCGACGCTCATGTTGAGGATGTCGATGAGGCTGGAGACGACGACTTTTCCGACGAGGACCAGCTGCACTCCTGGCATCCCATACATGAAGACACCTCCGCCCCGGACGAGCGTGAATTACGCGATATTGAGGCCCATCCGGAGCATTCGGCGCTTGAGCGTGAGTGCTTGCCCCCTTCTTTTTTTTTCCCAATCACTTTGCTGACTGTAGGATTGCCCCTCCATAGATGAATACTGGGAGAAGAAGACGTTTACCGATCTCGATGATCCGGAATACATACCAGGTCCAACCGGCCGGATCGAATGGACTGTCCCCAAATACAATGGTTCCCGCGACTCGCCCAACAAAGAGCTGGTCATGCGCTCGCACGTCGTCCGCATCGGCGGCTACGATTGGCAAATCAAGTTCTATCCAAAGGGCAACGACACCGATCATCTCAGCGTTTACATTGATTGCCTCACCGTCACCCACCGTGCCCCCGCCGCCGCCGCCGCCGCCGCCGCCAAGCAGCAGTCCAGAGATGGGTCGGCCAGCAAGCTCGACAGGCCGGCTGACGAGCTCGACAACACTGGCACCACCACCACGCTCGAGACTCAATTCACGCCCTTGCCCCTCTTGGACACACAGCCGCTGCCGAAGAGACCCAGTGTGGCGGCACAGGCCTCGGTCGTCGTCTACAATCCCAACGAGCCGCGCGTACACTGCTTCCGCTCGTGTGCTCACCGCTTCTGCCCCGACTCTGCCGACTGGGGCTGGACGCGATACCATCCCATCTACGAGATCCACCATCGTCTGCACGGCCAGCGCCAAGCCCTCCTCCGCAACGACACCCTGTCCTTTACCGCCTACATCCGCATCGTCGACGACCACACCGGCTGCCTCTGGGAGCATGGCACCACAGACAACAGCTGGGACTCCTTTGCCATGACCGGTCTGCAATCCCTGTACGTGCCACGTCAGACTCCGGGCGGGAACCTGGTCTCGGCCGTCTCGACATGGATCCTCCTGAAGCCGTTTAGAGACCTCATCACCCGCCTGGTCGTCCCCGACCCGTCAAGCCCGATCCTCGACCACCCGAAGCCCTTCATCGTCGGCTTCCAGTATGTCCTCTACCGCATGCGCACCCAGGTCCAGCCCCGCATCGGGAAGATAAACATAGACTGGATCACGTGGGGCTTCCGCTTCTATGGCATCTACCATAAGCTGGAAAAGATGGATGTCATTGAGATTTGGGAGGTGCTCCGCACGAAGATGGAGCAGGAACTGCGCGGCACCTGGGCCGAGAATGCGCTGACGGAGATATTTGGCGAGAGACGGCAGTATGCCGCGCCTGCGCCCGCGCCCACCTACAAGATTCCGGTAAAGGGGCTTCACAGCATACAGGAAGCCGTCGATGCGTCTGAAAACATGCTCTCCGACACCCAGGAGCTGCCCCAGGTACTGACCCTTGAGCTTGCCAGGCAGCAATTCGACGTGCCCACCCGCACCTGGAACAAGCTCACAAACGAGGTCACCTTGGACGAGTCGATCGTGGTACGCGGAACGTCCTGGACCTTGTTTGGTCTTGTCGCCCATTCGGGTGACCCCCAGTCTGGCCTGTACAAGTCGGTCCTTCGTCCAAACGGCCCGGACGGGGGGAAATGGTACAGCTACCTGGACTCGCGCGAGGAGTACAAGGTCGTGTGTCTGACCAGAAGGCAAGCCCTCACCGCGCACGAGGGTTCACGCTCAAAGTCTCCGAATTCAACCGTGGCATATGCCGTCATCTATATCCGAAACGACATGACAGAGTCTGCCTTTTTCGCGCCCGAGATTGCGTGGAAAGCTCCCGCCTGGATGCCTCGCGAGTCCATGGTCGACTGCGGCGACATGGGTACGACGACGACGACGACGACGACGACGACGCCGCCGCCACCGCCACTACCACCACCAACACCGCCTGTCGGACAAGGAGGGGACGACTACTCCTCCTCTACTACTACTACTATCACCTCTCCCTCCCCCTCCTCTGTAGATGCTCCGTGCGCACTCATGGCTGTCGATTCGCGTGTATTCTCACAACACGAGGGTCCCGGCTTCTTTGACCCCTACGATCCGAAATGGAGACCCGAATCCTCCGATCTGATCCACTCCATCCGCCTCAAGCCTTCCGACACCTGGAAGGTAATTGAATCGAAGCTGGCGTCCGTCTTTGGAGTACAGGACCCGCGGCAATGCAAGTTCTGGATCATACGGGCGGGTTCGCGCGAAACCGAGCTGAGACCAAGTAGTACTGCCGCCATGCCCGATCACCTCGACGCGAGCGAGTCCTGGGTCCTGGGCAGATTGCTGGGCGATCCCATCAAGTACCAGTGGTGTATATGGGTCCACGTACTCAAACAGGAGGACCTCCCTCCACTGGCGCCGCCGCCGCCGTTGTCGTCGTCGTCGTCGTCGTCGTCGTCGTCGTCAACAACACAAGGAACAGCAGCTTCCGCACAGATGGCTGCCGGAAATGCATTCAGCCGCGAGCGGACCATACCTCCGCCACCACTACCACCACCACCACCACAAGCACCACCACCACCTGCTGCAGGAGCTGCTGATGATGAGCTGATGGGAGACGACAGAGTCACGGTTGCGGAAGACACGCCCATGCGTGAGCCCCTCCAGGACGGTCGAGAGAATAATGCCGCCGCCGTTGTTCCAGCTCCCGTGGCCGTGGAAATAATACATACCGGTAATGGTCAGACGGCAGAACTGATGGCTCCCGTCCGAGATGCGGACATGGCAGACGTCCTACTGGCCGTGGCCGTGCCTCCGTCACCCCCCCCTGCTGGGGCTATTCTCGGTAATGGCCCCCCCCGGGCGGATGATCCAATTGCTCCGACTGTCGTCCCGCACCCGCCCAACTCCGCCACGGAGGTCTACTTCTTCTTGAAGTTTTTTGATTATGAACACCAGCGTCTGGAGAGCCGCGGCTTCCATGCGGCGAGTAAATCTGCTCGTCTCGATACGGCCATCCTGAAGATTCTGGATCTGCCGCACGATACCCCACTCAACATTGACGAGGAGGAAGACATTGTGACGGTAACGCCGCTGCGTGCCCGCCGCTCCTTTGAGCAGAACAAGGTCGATCGCCAGCGCAACCGGCTTCCCATCCTCATCGCCTCACCCACCCTCACTGGCCCCCAGCGCATCGAGCTTGCCGCCCGCGGTGCCTTTTTCGACACACAAGCCCTGCTCCGTGCCCGGGCAAACGCGCGCAACTTTCCCGGCGTTGCCAACGGCCACTTTTCCTTTGCGCCCTTTGGCGGCGAGAGCTACGTTGGCGAGATCAAGCACCACCACATGCACGGCCATGGCACGCGCGTCTACCACACCGGCAACTCGTATACCGGCGCCTTTGTGCTCAACCAGCGCCATGGCCACGGCGTCATGACCTTTCAGAACGGCGACACGTATACCGGCGAGTGGGCCGACGACCAGCAACACGGCCAGGGCACCTACATTGAAGCCAGCACAGGCAACACCTACGTCGGCGGCTGGCGGCACGACAAGAGGCACGGCGAGGGCGTCACGCACTGGAAGAGTGCGCAGGAGACGGAGAAGCTCTGTCGGATCTGCTGGGACGACGATGCCGAGGCGGCCTTTTACGACTGCGGGCACGTGGTGGCGTGTCTGCCGTGTGCCAGGCGGGTCGACGTGTGTCCCGTGTGTCGGAAGCGGGTGTTGAGCTGTATGAAGCTGTATTATGTCTAGTAGTCGAGGGCAAACCCGACGAGCCGTTGTACTGTACAATCCCACCCACACACCCAACAAACCTGTCTCTCCCTCGATCAGTCAGCTTTCCCCCTCCCCCCCGCCAATCTCTCGAAACCCTCTCTCTCTCTCTCCCTCTCGCTCCCTTGATAGCGTTCTTTGAAGTTGACCTCCTCTCGGGCTCTCCTGCTGTATGTACTTGTAGTAGTAGTAGTAGTAGTAGGAGTAGTAGTGCTGGTAGGAGTAGTAAGCGTTTTTTGGTCCCTTCTTTTTTTCTTTTTGAGGTTTTCCATCATGTGCTCATTCCTCTCCCCTCTCCCCTCTCTCCCCACTCTCCCTCTCCCAAATGGGCAGACTGCTATTATTACCTTTTTTTCCTTTTATTCTCACGGTCTTGAGTCTTACGGTCTTGAGTCTTACGGTCTTGAGTCTTACGGTCTTGAGTCTTACGGTCTTGAGGGGGGGCGGTTTGGGTCTTGGTATGGTTTCGGGGATGTTTTTGTTTTTTTGGGGAACTGAATACTCAGTTCCATGCCATGCCATGCCATGTCATACATAGCTAGACTGGAACTGAATATATGTGAAATGACTGAGTGATTGAGTGATGAGGTGATTGAGTGATGAGGTGATGGAGTGGCCGAGTATGAATACACATACACATACACATACACGCACGGTGATGGTGATGGTGATGGTGATGGTGATGGGGAGGTGTCTGACTGGCTGGTTGGCTGGCTAGTTGGCTAGGGGCTAGGGTAAATGGATAAATGGACAAGGGAGCTGGCTTTGAGATATTTGGGGGATATTTGGGGGATATATGGAGGATATATGGAGGATATATGGAGGGTATATGGAGGGTATATATATATATATGTATACATTTACCATGGATTTGGGTATGAATGTAAGTGTGAGTGTGAGTGTGATCGTAAGCATGAGTATATGATGTCTACAATGTTCAGCCTCTCTCTCTCCCTTTCTGTAAACTGTGAACTATGTACTGTGTGTACAGTCTAGTAATACAGACTGAAAGATTGATCGATCAAGGGAATGGGTAGGTAGGTATCAGACCCACCCACGATGATGGTCTTTTGATCTTTTGAAGTTTTTTTGGTGTTGTGAGTGACGCTTTCTGTCTCTCTCTTTATCTCTCTCCCTTCTCCTGACTCGTCTCCGTCCGTGTCTCTCTCTCTCTCCGTGTCTCTCTCTCTCTCCGTGTCTCTCTCTCTCTCCGTGTCTCTCTCTCTCTCCGTGTCTCTCTCTCTCTCCGT